GGCAGCCCCCGCTCCCGCCGCTGCTCGGGGCGGGTCGATTCAGCGCCGGACCCCCCCGGCGCCCTCCTGCTCTCTGCTGCATCCCCGCGCACCCTCCTGCCACCCCCTGCACCCTCCGCCATCCTGCTGCACCCTCCTGCACTCTCTTATATCCTCCTGCGACCTCTCACATCTTTCCATACCCCCCTGTACCCTCCTGCATCCTCACACGCCCTCCAGCATCCTCCTGCACCCCACTACATCTTCCTGCACACTCCTGCAACCCACTGCACCCTCTTGCACCCCCCTGCACCCTCCCACATATTCCCACACCCTCCTGCATCCCTCTACACCGTCCTGCCGCCTCCCACATCCTCCTGCACCCTCCTTCGATGCCTGTTTCAGGCAGGACGTGAGGGCCAGACGCTGCAAACGCGAAGCGATGCATTGCGGCCCTCGTGCCCCAGCTGAAACGGGCCACCAGTGGCCTTCATAGCATGGTCAGAAATCAGAAATCCCCCCATTTCCCGTCCTCCGTAGTGGTGCACTACACTTCCAGGCTTGTTCCCACTTGGAGTTTGGGGCACAGGGCTGTGATCCTGGGAACTGCAATGGGAAATGCGCAGGGGGTGATGGACTCGGCCATCTGCTGGTGCAGGGGTTTTTGGAGGAAGGGGAGAAGAGTCTAAAAGATCGCTCCCTTCCCCTTTATTTCTCCCTTTCTTCCAATGAATATTTCTATCACGTGCCTGGCTCAGACCCCAAGGAAGAAGAAAAAAGCTTAAACACTGAATTAAGATGGTCCTGGATCTCGTTTAATCGCCACAGGTTTGATTGCATTTCAGAACAGACCATCAAGCATCAGCTAGTCCCCAAAGCAATTGCTTTAAGCGCGGTTGGCCACAGGCACCCCAAAGAGTAATTTAGTTCTAGTACAGCAGCTTCCTGACACCACTGAATTTTTTGCTTATCCCAGCAGATATAATAACATAAGCTACTATATCCTAATGCCCAGCACACGCACATAAGGAAAGGTGAAATAAAATCAATTTCCACTCACATTTCTCTCCCTTTTTTTAATTCCAGGCCTTGTTAATTCATCATCAGTGAATTTATGGCCCCTTGGATGCCCAAGAGCCCTGGAAAGTGAAGCTCTGTGCTAGACAGGGCACAACCATTTTGTAACAGTGCTGCAAAATGCCCTAAAGGAATGTACTCAGCTCAGGGACTTTGTGGCATCCGAATCCAGCACTAGTGTGGTTTTCCTGGCTGTATTTCACACAGGGGGATCGAGTGAGGAGGCTCACAGACCCGTGTCAGGGTGCAGAAGCAGCCAGGGGCAGAAGGGGGAACTCAGCCAGAGCACATTTAGGAGGAGTCCACTAAGCTGCACAGACACTGCAGCCGTCACACACAAACCAGGCAGCATCAGTGGTCCTCCCCCTGTGGACTCACCTCCCCTCTCCAATTCTGTATCCACCAGAGGAGATAGGAGGTGGGAAACATCTGGGCACCTGAAATGCAGGGGCTGAAGCTGAAGGGAGAGGTACGTGGTGCTTCTCAGCTATTGCAGAAGGACTGTCTAAGGTGTCCAACCTCAGTCTTCACAGCTGATGCTCTCTGAAAAGCACTGGAGCCCAAGAGTCCTCCGTCTGTCTCTGAGATCTTGTTTGCTCCCTAGTGTCTAAAAATAAACATTGCCGGTAAGGAGAAGAGAAAGCTCACTGCCAAAATATGGTTGGGCTGCTTCTCCAACCCAGGTCCAGCCCTCTCTCCAAGTTGCTGCATTGGGTGCTGCAGATGGTGACAAATTTCAGCAGCAAAAGCCAACAGCGACGCAAAGCTGATGGGACTGCCTGGATCCCCTCAGGAATTGGCTGTGCCCGGAAACACCAAAATTACCAGCTGATACTTTTGCATCGGCCACTTTGGGAATCCAGTCGGCCAAGAGTGCTGCAGTGCTGGATTGCAGTGCCACCAAGGTGAGTTGGGACATTCGGGTCTGTTTAAGGCCATCAGGTAACAAGAGATCAATGGCTCTACAGTTACAAATGAATTGGAGACAATGATAAGCTGTTGGTGCCGCTGTCATCAGCAAATAAAGATGTAAGATGAGCCAGGAAGCACAGAGGAGCCTCCTGTCCCTGTGTGGGGAACGGGAGATCTCAGCATGCTCTGCCATGGATTCTCACCCGACTTCTTAATTTAATTTCATTCATCAGGCCCACAATCGGTCTTCCCATCTGTCTTAATTAAAAGCTGAAATTATGGGAGAAGGACTTGTTTCTTATTGTTTCCAGAAGATCCCAGCACTGGGGCTTTGCTTCCAGACAGGGCTTCCAGCTCCGCCACACGCTGTGTATCAGTCATTCATAAGGAAGGATGATTTACAGCAGGATGAGCTAAGGGAGGAGGCAGCATTTCAAAGTCAAGGGCGCTCTGCCTCCGCAGGCTTCCTCCTCTGACCTTGAGCTTGCCCCTGCCTGCCTTTATTTCTTCTCCAACCTTTTGTGTGCTTAAGCACGAGAATAACCAGAGGATGTGCTGGCTGCTATTAAAAGGATCCGGAAATTAGCTGTGACGCTTACTTGCATGGGCACGGATACCTGCTCCCCAAAATAGTCGCTACTGCAGAGATTCCCTTCTCCCTCCCCTCTCCCTCGTGGCTGACCCACCGGGTCTCTCGTTCATCTTCGCTCTCTTTTCACACAATCATTGATTTTTTTCTGGACTGCAGATGCCAAGGAGTGGGCAGGGACAGCCCTGATCCCAGCTGAGACCTCAAGGCGCAGCTATAACACACACAGCCATGCAATCAGCTGAGACATCCTTGATTTGCAGCTAACTCCCTTCCCTACAGGGAGATTTTAGCCCCGCTGCTTTTAAGCCAAAAGAATTATGTTCTTCGTTAATTTAAAGTCTGAGCCCTCTAGGTTTAAAAAGAGCCTTGTAGAAACACCGAGTGTTTTCCAATCCCTTTATTCCTCGTTGTGATAATAAAACTTGTTCCTTTTCTATCAGAGAACAAATAAACAAGGAAAATTCTCCCAAGAGCCAAAGCCTTACTGGGGTCTTAAAAGCAAATAATTTTCTTCACAAGGTAAGAGAAATATCGCTGGCTTCTTCATGGTGTTGTTATTTACAGTTATTTACAAGTTATTTACTTGGGCAATAGAGCCAGAAGCAATGCTCTGGGGAGCAGCGCGCCCTGAGCGTTTTGCCCATTCCCCCTCGGGCACTGGGATCCCATTACATTTTCACATCACCGCTACCTTCTTGGTGGGGAGGGATTCCGGGGTGGCAACATTGGCACCGTGTTTATTTGTTCCTCGGGAGCAAGAGCCTGCTGGTTACAGACTTTTGACTCCTCGATGTAGTTGTCACCTAAACACAAGTCCCCCAAGCTCCAAGGCTGTCGGGTAGGAAGGAGAACAGTGTCAGCCCCATCCTGGATCAGTATCCTGGTGATGGGGAGGTTGGTCCCAGCCCCCCCAGCCCTCCCATGGTGGCTGCTTACCATTTCTGCCCACCTTCTGGGTATCATCCCTCCGGCACGATCCAGCAAAGAGCTGCCATGTCAGTCAAAGCTGAAATTAAGTCTAAGGCAATTAATTTTGTAAATGAAATACAGGACCATGATGAGGCAATTTGCCTCCTCTTCCTTTAGCTCCATGCTGCATGCAATCCATTTGCAGGGTTCAGTGCCACCAGGCCAGCACTGCATAGGACAAGGCCGGGCATCTTCCACAGGTCGTGCTGAGGAGTCAGAGGGATGTCCCTGGACATCCCCCAGGCTCCCATCGGGGTGGACACGGTGCAATTCTTAATACAGGCACTGGGTCCAGATTTCTTTTCCCAGGATAACACCTTGGAGCTCATTACAAGCAGTAACAATGGGGCCAGCACGTGTGTTGTGACCCTGCTTACAATCATAGAATCATAGAATCATAGAATGGTTTGGGTTGGAAGGAACCTTAGAGATCATCTAGTTCCAACCCCCCTGCCATGGGCAGGGACACCTCCCACTAGACCAGGATGCTCAAAGCCCCATCCAGCCTGGCCTTGAACACCTCCAGGGATGGGGCATCCACGACTTCTCTGGGCAACCTGTGCCAGGGTCTCACTACCCCCAATGTAAAAAATGTCTTCCTTATGCCCAATCTAAACCTACCCTCTTTCAGTTTAAAACTGTTGCCCCTTGTGCTGTCCCTACAGGGCCTGAGAAAAAATCTCAGTCTTTCTTATAACCCCCCTTTGTGTATTGAAAGGCAGTAATAAGGTCTCCCTGGAGCCTTCTCTTCTCCAGGCTAAACAACCCCAAATCTCTCAGCCTCTCTTCATAGGAGAGGTGCTCCAGACCTCATCCTTGGGTCCCTCCCCTGGACCCACTCCAACAGGACCATGTCTGGTCCATGTCCAGGTCCATCTTCGAGGCCTAGTGGGGCGAGATGCCACCCGACCGTGCCTGCCTCAGCCCTGAGCCTCCCAGGACAGCTCTGCAACTTGTCCCAGTTGCTCTTGGGGAATTGCCGGGTGTTCAAAATCTCTAAAAACAAGGCCGCTTATTTCATGCCACAGCGCTGCTTTGCCCAGCTCTGAAGGTCGGTGTATCCCCTCCTTCATCTTCCTCCCACAGGCAGGGCAGGACACAGTGGCGGTGCTGAATTAAAAGCAGCAAGCCTGTGACTTGGCTGTGGGCTCCAGAATTGCTGTGATTTTAAGGTCTATGTTTAAAGGTCTGGTCAAAAGGGCACCTTTGCTACCGGGGAAAGAGGATTCAGGACTCCCTGCATCTACGAGAGGCCAAATCCTGCAGCGTCACCTCTACACAGCTGCCAGCAGCAGTGGCAGAGACATCCAACCTGAGGAAAGGAGAGGAACAAGAAAACTATGGGTATCCCAAACCCTTTCAGGTGCCACGCGTCTTCTTGGCACCTTGAGTATAGCGAGATGTGGTTAAGTGGTGTCCCTTTCCATCCATACCTAGAAGCAACTACAGCAAAATCCACTCATGACGATGCAGCTGGCCAGAGCTTGGGTTATTCCTCAAATTCCTTTAGGCAGGTGGGGGAAGGTGACCTGGAGTATTTTCCAGGTGGGGGATTATCCACAGAGAAAGTGGAGAATTGAACCCTCTGAGCAAGGTATTTTTTAATTATTTGAGTACTTGGAGTCTCTAAAATTGGGAGAGCCTCCGACAGATGTAGCTTGGTATATCTGGCAGCATTTGAGCTCCATGGGCAGGATACTGTGGGCAGAGGCTGGAGTAGGAGTGGTGTAACCTGGAGGCGGGTGGGACACTGACTTCATTGCAGAGGAGGGTGGAAGGAGGGTTAACTGCCACATCATTAGGAAAAGAGAAAACTCATTACAAGTTTTTAAGAGGCTCAGGTAGAAAACTGAAGAGCCCAGACTCGCGGTGGCTGGTCTTAAAATAAAGTCACGAAG